CTTTTTTTTTTTTTTTTTAATTTTTTTTTTTCAACGTTTATTTATTTTTGGGACAGAGAGAGACAGAGCATGAACGGGGGAGGGGCAGAGAGAGAGGGAGACACAGAATCGGAAACAGGCTCCAGGCTCCGAGCCATCAGCCCAGAGCCTGACGCGGGGCTCGAACTCACGGACCGCGAGATCGTGACCTGGCTGAAGTCGGACGCTTAACCGACTGCGCCACCCAGGCGCCCCTCCATTACTTACATTTCAACTTAACTAGGTATCACCCGCTCCCAGACGGCACCCAACAGAGCATTCTCTGATGGGCATCTGAGTCGGGAGACCTTCTTGCTGTGCTGGCATTTATTACTTTATCTCCTTCATCGCCGCACTGAAATAATGTGTAAATGAATTTTGTCAATAAACAGACCTCTTTGCCTCTACAGAGCAGAGGCTTTTACTTTTTTTTTATTTTTATTTTTAGATATGTCTTGGTAGTTGTTCAATGGGATTCTCTCAATGGAGAAATTGTATCAGAGATTGAGAGAAAAAAAGGGAGTTAACTCATTTATTTCTGTTTTCAGTGGGTACGGATCCAAATCTGTATGGGGATCCACAGGTCACGGAAATGAGAGAAGCCTGATGGCCTTGGGGGTGAACGGAGAGGCACATACATTCTGTGAACTGGTAGCTGCAACTCAGCCCCAACAAATTCTTCCCATAATGGAATATGGTCTTCTAATATTCTCATTTTATACGAAATGTCTTGGTCCTAAGGTTGGCAATAGATTCTAGAGAATTGAACTATGAATTAGAGGGGCCAAACAGAATATACTCATGGTAGACAGGGTCCCTCATGTCCCAAAGCCACGGGCACAGCATCCCTACTGAGGGGAAGGAACAGGAGGTCGAGGAACTGGGCCCATGTGCCCGATGTTGGAGACCCTCACACCAGCGAGTGGGCTGGTGGCCGGGGAGCGAGAGCTACACAGCGAGTATGTTCTGGAACAATCACAGCCTTCGTGTGTCATCAGCCCTGCCAGCCCAGTCAGTACGCACTGAGGACAACGTGCCAGAACACTGATTGCTTGTACCAATTCACTATTACTAAAACCAATTAGTTTTTATTTTTTAACACGTTTTTTAATGTTATTTATTTATTTTGTGTGTGTGTGTGTGTGTGTGAGAGAGAGAGAGAGAAAGAGAGAGAGGACACAAGCAGGAGAGGGGCAGAAAGAGAGGGAGACAGAGAATCCCAAGCAGGCTCCCTGATGTTAGCACAGAGCCTGATGCGGGGCTCAGACCCACAGACTGTGAGATCATGTCCTGAGCTAAACCCAAGACTCAGACACTTAACTGACTGTGCCACCCAGGTGCCCCAGTGTTTTTAAACTGAAGGAAGAAGTTTGAACACAATCAGTTAATTAGTCACCTGTACATTATGAAACATGGTGACTTCAACCCACGGCGCCACATCAAAGTTATTTAGAAGTAAAACAAACAAAAAAGTAAAACAAACAAGAGAAAAACCTTAGGACTCTCTCACCTGATAATGTAACAAGTTATCTAACATTCAGTGCATTTTTACTATACAGTGACATTATTTTCTTTTGGAAATTTTACATTATGTAGACAGGTTGACAGTTTTTCCATGCTGGTTTAATAATAGAAATTCAAGTTGACTAGATGTAAAGTTTGAAGTATTATCTATCCACGTAGAAAAAAAAAGCAAAAACAAAAACAAAACAAAAACACCTAACCTCACATTGGAATCTCAGAATCCAAGATGCAAATGAATCCTCCCTGATGATTCGTGTAAGTGATGGGATGGCAGTTTTATATGAAAAGAACTATTTTTAGTCAATAAAGCATAATATTCTCTAAATCTCAACATTATCTATTACCCAGACTTTTCAAGATTGAGTTTCTAGAAATAAATATTCTATATAGTATTTGTTTGGAATGGATGATTTGAAGGATGTTACTTCTTACTATGCAATATTTGCAAATTCAAAGACCCTAACCATGAAAAGATCTGTATCTTTCTCCAGCTGTCCAAATGTTTTTGAAACTCAAAAAAGGCAACACAAAACTGCTATGGTGCTTTAATGTACTACGGCCAATTAATATTTTTCCTCTTCCTCACTAACATGTTTCCTTTAGATGTAAACATCACTGGGCTTCTTGTGGCTCAGTTGGTTGAGCATCCAACTCTTGATTTTGGCTCAGGTTATGATCCCAGGGGGTTCTGGAATCTAGCTCTGTGTCACGTTTCATGCTGAGCATAGATCCTACTTGGGATTCTGTCTCTCTCCCTCCCTCTGCCCCTCTCCTGCTCACTCTCTCTCATGCAAAACTAAATACATAAAATTTAAAATACAAAAATAAAAATTTATAAGGAGGTATAATTTTTAATAGCTAGTCATTCGAAATAAACCCCACGTTATTTTATTGGTTGCCTTTATAAAAATACATTCAGTGACAAAGTCCAACAAAGACGGTTGTTAGACTACATGTAAAAGGAGTTACTATGCATTTGTTTATGGTGGTAATTTGAGGTTGGTCGAAAAAATAATTTAATTTCAATCATGCTCGTTTTAGGACTTAAGATTATTTTGGGGTGCTGCACATACCTGGCCCCAGTAGAATTTATGTGACCATATATACTTTCATTAATTCCTTGAAATTACAAGTAGAAATATGATTATACAATAAATTCTACTAGTTTGTGTGTTTGGATGGAAAATAACAGAGAAACAGTTGCCTAGTTGTGTACATAGAGAATCAATCTTACCATTGCCATAATGACATCATACAAAAGTTATGAATGATCTCTATCTAAATAGAATCTTAAGCTCATTTAATTCATTTATTTTCATTTTTTCTCAATATAATGTATTGCTATTCATGTTTCTTGACATATTACTTAAAAATTTTTATTTAAATTCTAGTTATCTAGCATATAATGTAATATTGGTTTCAGGAATGGAATTTAGTGATTCATTACTTACATAAGCTCTTTTCTGTTTTTGAGAGAGAGCATGCACGTGCACAGAAGCAGGGCAGAGAGAGAGAGATAAAGAGAGAGAGAGAGAGAATATCCCAAGTAGCCTCCAGGCTCAGCATGGATCTCGATGTGGGGCTCGATCCCGTGACCCAGGGATCATGACCTGAGCCAAAATCAACAGTTGGCTCTTCAACCTACTGAGCCACATAAGCTCTTTTTAAAAGGAGAATCAGTGCCTTGGAAACGGAATGGAAAGCATTATTATAACAGCAGCAGATTTCTGCACCACATTTGGTTCGGGTGCTGTCTGTGTTTGCAATTTCAGTAAGGATTAGAAAGACTTTCACTCCAACTTTGAAAATGTGGTATTTACTTGTTGAGAGCAAAGGACTCAGAAATATGCCACGTCATTCATTCAGCATTTGCATTGACTGGTGAGTTCTGTTCTCTTCCATACTTGTATGTTCAGGCCAAAGATGTTGGCACATCTTCTCCTCATTTCCAAATTTCCCCCACAGACACACAGCGGTAAAATGCAGCCTGCACACTTGTATCTGTGGTCTACTGCTCACATGGTTGGCCTGTTCAGATACAGGCAAGTGTTAGGAATGTTGAAAGCTAACATAAGAAAAACAGCTAAGAAAAAAGAAGGCACGGCATTCTGTGCTAACAAGCAAGGTTTGGAGAGATGAAGAGGTTCCAGTCAGAGAGTTCACTAGCTGCTAACAAGCAAAAGGGAGTTGGGACACATGACATGGTTTTAAACAATATAAGTTTTCAGCACAGATTTTGTTCATTATATCTATACCCAGCGGAAGAAAGCATATATCCATACACACACACACACACACACACACACACACACACTCCATAAATGTCAAACCACACAGTGGTGCTTTGTAAATTTCTGAATATGATGTAGGGGTTGAAACATGACAGGCTGTTTATTACAAAACTACATTGCCCTATACATTATTATTAACGGTTTTCAGGGCACATCTGCCATGCAGATGGGCATGTTCCGTGTTAACATTTCGGCAAGTCTCAGAAATATACATTTGGTTTTCTGAAGGGCATTCTATGCATGGGATGATCATTGGCTTGGGCAGCTGCCTGAGGGCGTCACTTACTTATTTAGTTCATATCTTTTCCCACAGATGATTTTACAGCTACTGGGAAATACAGAAAACGTACAGATACGTGCAAATGTAAAAGTTAAAGAAAATCAAAGCAAGAAAATTCAGTATTTCAAGAAGATGCATAAGATAAATTAGAATGTGAAAATAAAAATGAACAGTTCTCAGTTAACCGTC